TCTTATTAAATGAGTGGACATTTGAAATCGTTTTGGAAGGCTGCAATTACAGCACATGATTACTCTTTCCTGTAATTACTGCACATAAATACATGCCATCTAATAGTTTATTGCACCTTGTTACTGTACTTACAGTAAACAGAAACCAATACAGCCCATGTATTTTGACACCCACATCAGATTTACCAATTTATCTTCATTACAGCCCCTTGTGCTGTTACTGTCAGTCTTCTCAGAGCTATGCTAAGGCAGTGAGAAGATGGATGAGGCTCATGTACATGGACTTGCTGCTGCAGCAAGGCACTTGAGAGGCACAGTCACCCTTCCAGTCATATCAAGTTGGCTAAAAATCAGCTGCATTAAGCCAATGCTCTGCTCTCATTTCACCTCCTCATAAATTATGGTACATGATTTGGACCTTGGAAGGTTAAGTCTGTTATAGGAGTAGTTTGAAACCTACTGTCTCCAGTTGCTTTGTCACCGTGGCAAAGATTTGACCACGCTACTACTTTTATTCTAACAACAGGCTCAAAATAGGTGTGTTTTCCACTATGACAGATATCAGAAGATAGTTCTGAATGAATCTACGACAATAAATCTACACCTAGTTTGGAATAACAGAGATCTGCTATGGCTACAATTGTCATAACTGGCCAAATGAGTTAAAAGCCTATGTTCTGTGAGGTCATCAAGAGGTGGCTGAAAAGCCTCAGCACTCTAAAAGCACCAATACATTATATTCCTCTACAGAGAAAATGAAGAGGTCATGTCTCACTGCAGATGATTTAGCTCTCCAATCACAACATTCTGGCATTTCAAAGGACTGCACGCTGAAGGCTGTAATAGTTTTGGATCATTCTTTTGCTAAATGCAGATCTTGCACCCCAGCAAACCAAACTGTCCAGCAGTGGGTGTGTGTCGTAAAGATTCTCCCTGATGGAGGCTCAGGTAAGCCAGCATCTCCCACAGTGCATTCAGAAATCACTCAGACTCAGAAAGCATACACTATGGGCTGAATGAGCAAGTCAATGAGCTGTAGCCTGGATAAACAATCCTCTCCTATCAAGCTGCACATGTACATTGAAAAGCAGACCAGGAATTACTCATATTCTGGACATTTCCAAATCAGCTGACATAATACAAGGCTGTAGATCCTGCATTGAATGCTTACTGTTGAGCCTCCATTGCTCTAGTAGCTGTTTGCATATAATCCCATGGAAAAATCAGTGCAGGCAAAGCTATTACACCAGCACTAGAAAAAAGTAAGAAGAAAAAATGGCAGCCCGTTTTCTGTGTTTTTCCACAGCTCAAACTCCACTCACATTCCCCAGTTTCAGATTCCTTTCTTTAGTAAATTGATGTAGTATATGATAGAAGAAGACAGAATCACAAAATCATAGAATGGCTTGGGTTGAAAAGGACCACAACGATCATCCAGTTTCAACCCCCTGCTATGTGCAGGGTCACCAACCACCAGACCAGGCTGCCCAGAGCCACATCCAGCCTGGCCTTGAATGCCTGCAGGCATGGGGCATCCACAGCCTCCTTGGGCAGCCTGTTCCAGTGTGTCACCACCCTCTGTGTGAAAAACTTCTTCCTAAAATCTAACCTAAACCTCTCCTGTCTCACTTTAAAACCATTCCCCCTTGTCCTATCACTGTCCATCCTCATAAACAGCTGTTTCCCCCTGTTTATATGCTTCCTTCAAGTACTGGAAGGCCACAATGAGGTCTCCCCAGAGACTTGTCTTCTCCAAGCTAAACAAGCCCAGTTCCCTCAGACAACATCTATCCAGAAAAAGAAAGAAGTGAAAGTAAGAAAAGAAGGAAGCCTATAGCCATAGTGCTGATCTGTTCAATTATTGGAAAAAAAAAATACATACAGATCACCTGAAAACTGCAATTCACCTCTCCTGGAAATTGCTTTCATTTCCTTGCAAAGTGAGCAGGTAACTATAAGAACTGCCTTTCTTGTTTTGGATGAGTATATACTTTATCCCCATTATAGACTCTTCAAGAAAGTGTGTGAAATAAAACAAATGCTTTTGGTTTACTTCATGTGGGACAGAAATGTAATTAAGTGGTCATTTTCCCCTGCTTCTGGCAGAAGCATTCCAATAGTAAGAATCCACTAAAGAAGAGACCATCCTGCATAAAATCCAGTGACATCCAATCTCCCCCAAAAGCAGAAAAATACTCCCTGATACCAAGCACTGAATAAAACCTGCACTTTTCCAACACATTATAGATGTGTAGAAAAAATTAAGCCCTACACTCGGGAGCTGGAAAAAAAATAGTGTTGGCAGTGCCACAATGCCACAGTCAATGAAAGATGTGGTAGAAGAAATACATCTTTTCTCAAAGAAGGTCATTCAGGGAGGAAGGAGGAAGAGATAGATGGATAATCTGAGTTTAAATGCACAGTGAGCCCTTGCTGAGAACTCGTGTTTCCTCTGACACCGACAGGCATAGAAGAGACACTCTAAGCCATCACCTGGAGATAGCAATGGCATGCAGAATTAATAAGGGCTAACATCATCCCTGTTTATAGAATTGTTGAATCACACAATATCTTGAGTTGGAAGGGACTCATTAGGATTACTGAGTCCAGCTCCTGGCTCCACACAGACCACCCAAAATCCAAACCCGGTGTCTGATAGCACCGACCTGTTGGCTCATCTTGCTTTCCAGATAATTTTTGCAATGATATAGAAGTACTGCTGCTAATGGAATCAACTTGGTTAACAGTGGCCAACATGAAGTAGCATCCCTGTCATATTCAGGGGGGAAAAAAGACAGCTTATTAAGAATAATTAACAAGCGGTATCTAGGAAAGGTCTGTCAGTGCTTCACACATGTATTGGGCATAAGAGACCAAAGACTGTCAGGTCATGCACTATTAGAGCTTTTCAAAGGGAGCCAAATTTGCTGTCTTTTATAGCAGAGAGACTCCCAGGAGAAAGGTATGAAATGGAGCTGGAAGGGAAATACTGCACCATGGGAAGATTGTGGTTGTCTTGGCAATGAAGGCCTTCCCAGGGGGTTATTAACACAACAAGTCAAGCATTAAATAAAATGCTTTTTGAGGGTGTCACAAGAATGTGCACACCTTGGCATGCCCAGCTCTGGAACTCTAGCAGCTTGTTTGTTCTGATCCAGAGAATTCCCCTTCCAACAGGCAGTGCTGGGCAGTGCTCCTTAGCAGCTCAAGAGGTTGATTTGGCCATCGAGCCAAATCTCTCTCCTGGACAGCATCCCCAGCTGGGTTTTACAACATGGTCCTGCCCCCATTTCTCCATGACACTGTCTCAAATCTCCACATGCAGGTGTTTTTCTTCTCTACAGCCTGCCTTCCATATGGTTTTACTGCTCCCCATTCACAGAATTATAATTATAATTATAATTATAATCATTAAGGATGGGAAAGACCAATAAGATCATAGTCCAACCACCAACCCATCAGCACCATGATGCTGGGAGCACCCTATGATACTTTTCCTCAATTGTGCTTCCTGTCTTCAGAATCTTATAGACAGTTATTTTCACAAATGAGACAAAAACCAGAGGAAGGAATACATTAACCTATATTGAATTGATAACTAAACTCTAATTCTTACAAGCAATTATATATATTTTTTTGTTCTTTTTGCTGTAAAAATTCCCCATCACTATAGGAATCCTCTGGCAAGTGTAATTGTGGCATGTTTCACTGTGATCTGATAGGGAAGCACATGAATGTGAAAAAGACTTATAGACCTAAGATTCTCATCAATATATATATTTCAAAATCAATGCCAATTTCATTCAGTTTACGACCTTCTCTGACCGTATAAACTGGAAAGCTTGCAGTTATTTGAACACATGATTACTTAACAGTTTCCAATTTAATAAATCGTAACAAGGGCAAAATCCTTTTATTCCCTTCCATTTATTTATGGCCTGGAATGTGTGGGAATCTACAGTGAATTATCAAGGAATAAACCTACATAAAACAATGTACAGTAGTAAATTAAGAACAATTTTGGATTTCTAGCAAAAAAACCCTCAACAAATATGGAATATAAATAAGTGTATTTTACTGCATTTTGCTGTGAAATAGTGACTGCACTGGGAACTATTTTATTCAGGCACTTTTTAATTTGTATGCATTTGAAAATAATTTCCGAGAATATATGGTTGTAATGATTGATGAGGTGGGACAATATGGCCATATTTCACTTGTACCAACATGAATCAAGAGCTCCTTATTTCACAAACTGACATGAGAACAGTCAAGGAAAGCACTACCATGGTGTACAGCAGTGCAAAAGAGATAGTAAACCAGTACACGAATATTTCAATCCGTACCCATTATATTGAAGCCGTTTCTACACATTCCATTAAGATTAGATGAAGGAAGTGATTGGTGCACTCTCTTCAGAGGGCAATTTTTTTATTTGAAAATTGTCATTGGTGGCCCCAATGAGCAAAAATTAAGGAATTAGTCATTGATTCTGAAGATGCAATGAAAGTGAATATGGTCAAAATTTGCTTTCATCAAACAGAATACTCTGAATCTTAGATTTGGGATGAAAACTCTAAACATGTTTAACTTCAGAGACAGGAAATGTGCCCATAAACTTCAAGGTTACTCAAGCTGCAAGAAGTTCTGTCCATACAAACCTTGGCAGGGTTGTGGTGTTACCACTACTGTTAGAACAAGTATTTTCCTCTGGAATATTCTACAATTCTCTTACAAGTAAAACTTAAGGGCTACCATGAAAGATTTAACTGAAGCAGATTAGAAGTGGAAAACATCGTGCACATTTGTTTCATTTTTTTCCCATGCTTGTGAATTGCATACTGTATTTTTTCCTCTGTATAATCAGGCAATTCCCATCTTTGTGTGAGTCAGTATATGTTGAGAGAAGGGAGAATTCCACTTTCTTGGCATAGGAAGAAGTGATTTTAAACTACAAAAATCAGTTAACCTTTTAACATATATTTTCCACTTAATCTTACCTCCAAAAAATGCTCTGCTTGCTGTTCTCGATCCAATTTTCTTGATGTTGTTGTAATCAGTCCTGTGAACAGAGAATGATATTTGACTGTCAATACCAGTTGAAAAATATATATCTCTATCGACCAGAAGACCAAATTCATTTTTCAAACACTCAAAGGGAAAAAGTCTATTTGAAGCTGTATCAGCCACAGATTTCTTGACATCTGTCAAGCCTTTTCTTTTGCAGCACAGCCATTATGACTTTCTGACTAACAATGAATCTTTACAGAAAAATGCTGCGAGAAGAGTAACTGAAAAACAGTGAGCTGTGCATCTCTCCTTAACATGCTGCATTTATTATGCTGAATAAAACACCTTAATAAAAAATCACTATTTGTCTTATGATTAAGTGCTTCATTGAATCATTTGCATTTGACTCAGATCCTTCCATAAAAAAAACTCATTAAATATTTCAGAGTTCTTAAACAATTAATGGGATAGGATGCTGATTACCTCCATGCCAAGAATGCTTGACAAAGAAGATTATTTCTGTAATAACTACTTGTATATGTAATGATTTCCAAATGTAATCATTCTAAGGTATTAAAGATTTTATACCAAAATTTCATCAATTTGTTCCATGATCAAATTGAGTCTTTTTGAATAAAGTATCTTATTACACGAGTATGATCAAGATATCTTTTCTTCTAAAGCAATTTTATGGCAACAAGTTGGGAGGTGGTGTCGATCTGCCTGAAGGTAGGGAGGCCCTGCAGAGGGATCTAGATCAGCTGGATCGCTGAGCCGAGGTGAATGGGATGAGGTTCAACAAGGCCAAGTGCCGGGTCCTGCACTTTGGCCACAACAACCCCAGCAATGCTATAGGCTTGGGGATGAGTGGCTGGGTGAGTGTGAAGAGGAAAGGGACCAGGGGTGTTGGTTGATGCTCGGCTGAACATGAGCTGACAGTGTGCCCAGTTGGCCAAGAGGGCCAACAGCATCCTGGCCTGCATTAGAAATCATGTGGCCAGCAGGAGCAGAGAGGTGATCATCCCCCTGTACTCAGCACTGGTGAGGCCGCACCTCGAGTACTGTGATCAGTTTTGGGCCCCTCACTACAAGGAAGACATTGAGGCCCTGGAACGTGTTCAGAGAAGGGCAACAAAACTGGTGAGGGGTCTGGAGCACAGGGCTTATGAGGAGCGGCTGAGGGAGCTGGGAATGTTCAGCCTGGAGAAGAGGAGGCTCAGGAAAGGCCTCATTGCACTCTACAACTTCCTGAAGGGAGGTTGTGATGAGGAGGGATTTGGCCTCCTCTCCCAGGCAACAAACAGGACCAGAGCAAATGGCCGCAAGTTGCATCAGAGGAGGTTTAGGTTAGACACAAGGAAGAACTTTTTCTCTCAGAGAGCGGTCAGGCACTGGAATGGCCTCCCAGGGAGGTGGTGGAGTCGCCGTCCCTGGCAGCGTTCAAGAGGCGCCTGGATGACGTGCTGCGTGATGTGGTTTAGTGCTTGTGGTAACAATGTAATGGAAGGTTGGTTGGACTGGATGATATTGTAGGTCCTCTCCAAACTTGTGACTCTCTGATTCTATGCTTCTATGATTCTATGATTCTATGCTGTGCTTTCAGAAATGATTAATGTCTTGTAAGATGTATAGCAAGTAAAGAAAATGAAGTACTTTACAAGTTCCCTCAAGAAAAGCAATGCACGCTGCTCTATGAACACAGGTTAGTTTTTACTTTTTCTCAGTAGAGATTTAAAGGTCAGATTTGAGTTTCCTCCACACAAAACATTTCTTTGAATGGGGAAATTCCTCGTTTGAATGTCGTCTGATATACTCAGACAACAGTAAAGGGACTGATTTCCCCTGGAGGTAAAGATGTTTTTGGAAACAATGCCAGTGGACAAAGTAGTTCTTAAGAACTCCTCCTCTGTAAGACTATCAACAAAGACAGGAAAAGGACTCCCTGTAGTACTTATAATATCTACTTATTTGATCAGAGCAGTCAATCACCTAAACACAAATCCGTGATAACTGCAAATTCTGCAGAAAACAACTGCAACAACATTTTATAGAGCCTCTAATTCCTGAAAGTTTCTACAGCTGCAATTCCTCATACACCGTTGCCTTCTACTTAGAGGCATCACTTATCTGTGTTAGTGAGAAGCGGGGGAAGAGGACACATTGTGGATAAAGAAGGGAAAATAGTACTTGAAGTAATAGAAAGTCCAGTCTGCCTCCCATATTTCAGGCTCATTATGAGATCTACCGGACCCCAGAAGTGACACCCAAGGGGATATTGCAGGCACCAGATTGGATCATTAGAGCCATCTCAGTAATATTATTACATGGAAGAACAACCAGGTGCTGGCAAAAGGCTGAAAAAGCAAAATAACTGGTATTTCCTGCGCCAAGCAATTGTAAGTCTTCAAAACAGTTACACCATATGGGAGACTTCTACTCACTGCATGAGTTTAAACAGACATGACAGCATGGATGACAAATTGGTGTCATTCACACAAGATTCCCCACGTCTAGAGAAGACACAAGGAAGAAGTTCTAAGTTATGAAAGAAGCGTAGCTTCAATAAATTGATTAAACAAAAAATTCAGATTTGAAATATTTTTATTTGTTCTACACACGGTCTCTATGGAAATTAATTGTGCATGACCTAACTTCAGTAAGGAATATGATCATTTTTTATACTGTCTTTCACATTCATCCTTCTTACTGGGGTACTGTAAATTACAAAGACCTTCCCCTTAAATAATAAATGTTTAGAGTATTTACTATGCTGAAATATTAGTCAGCTCCCCCCACATACTGGGGAATGCTCAGGCAACTCTGTAAATCACAGACTTCTGTCCTTATCACCTACTTCAGGCAGAAGATTTCACTTCTGCTTTGAAGACCAAGAGCTAACATCTGACACTGAGCATCACTCACAGAATTTATAGTGCTTGTCTCTCACTAGTAAAACAAAAGCAGTCTCACACAATCGCTGTTCCCACTACAGGTGTGGGATTTTTCCTTTTTTCTTTTTTCAGTGTAGGGCCTTTTTGGGCTGCCACAATGGTCAGAGTGCTTGCAGAACTAAATTTACTTCTAAAGGGGGTATTTGAACACATAGCAAGAATCTACAACAAAAGTGCCTATATTTTAAAGTAAACAGATCTTAACAGATTTAGTACCAAGACAGCAGCTGCTCATGAAGAACAGGTAACCAAGCAAACAGATTCAACAACCAAGTCCTAATACTAAAACACAGCTGCCCTTAAAGAGTGCTACAAAATACTTCTATACAGAGTTCTACAACAACAGTTTATTTAATTATGGTTATGTATTGGTACAGATATGAACCTTGTTCTTTCGGATTATAAAGCTGCATTCCAGGGAACTCTGCTTTAGATCTATCATTGACAGTGAAAAAGGAAAAAGATTCCAGTTATGTTTACTACACCAGTTCCTTCATGAGTTTCATGAGAATGTTGCTGTGTCCGTCTTGTATTTAGTACAAATACATAATAGTGGTAATTTTTAGCAGGATGTTTAACTTCCTTTTACAAGTCCATAGCCACTGAAAGAAACTTGGTTTTGCACAAGAGAATACACCCCAACTGCAGTTCTTTTGTAACTGTACTGTATCATCATACTGTTATGTTAGAAAGGCATTATCTAAAGAAAATAACTTGCAGGGAAATATATGCCCAAAGTAATGATGCTGGGCTGCACTGATACAAAATCTCAGGGGGACAATGATGAAAAATGACCATTTCTTTTTTTCCCATCTTCAATATGTGCCATAGCTCTTGTAGACACAACCATCTGGTCAACTGTCCGAAGCCAGCTGGGAGATATAGCAGGCATTTTTCACAAAATAGCAAAAATGCTAACAAGCTTCAGAAGTCATACCACACCACTCAGATGGTTTATCTGAAATTTCCAGGGAAACAACATGGTCCTTCTAGGTCCAGGAGATATTTCTAAGTGTGATGACTCTTAAAGAACAGCCAGGAAAGTGAAGAGAAAAACCGGGTGTGATAGAAAAGTTATTTGTGATAAAATCATCATCAGGGTTACGTGATTCTGTTCCCTGAATTTCTTACTTTTTCTTGAATTTCTGACTTAAAACATCTCAGTGTGCATCCTGGCACCTTGGCTCCTCTGGCCAGAAGCAGACTTTCTGACAAATTCAGGAACGTTGCTCCAGCATTTCAGGTTGGAGACAACCACGTTCTTATATAACTTTTCTACAAATTCTCTTACTTTTGATATTGGAATACTCTTTCCATCCTAAATAAATTAACAGTTATTTTTCTCCTCGTGTTACAGAGTTTGGAAAAGATGGAAGGTGACTGAGCTCACCCTGTGCAGTATGTCCTGTAATCCTGCTCTGAATTTTGGCTGGTCCTGAATGGAGCCAGGAGTTGGACTCAATAATCCATAGGGATCCCTTCCAACTCGGGGTCCTCTATGATTCTGTGATTCTAAGCCCCAGTTGAGACACAGAACTTAGAGTTAATGTCAGGTATGTGTGTGCCCACGGAGGCATGCAAATGTATGCATATATATCTACGCAAGATGACATAAAGGCAGGAATATGAATTCGATGCCTGATGCTTTACAATGGGTTTTACAGAAAACTATCTTTATTAGTAATAAAGCCATCAAACCTGGCAAAGGAACAGCAACTCATTGGTTCTATCACGTCACCCAAGTTGTACTTTGTTATTCAGAACTGGAACAATGTTCTGTCTCAAATAAGAGTCTTTTGTGATGCACTGTATTTTTTGAGCAGTGTTCTGCTTGGACGCTTAGACGTGGCCATGCCAGATGAACGTATCTGAGAAATACCTCAAATTGACAATTGCTCTCTGATGATATGCAGGTAGTAGGCTCAATCTAGAGCAATTCCACTGGAATCAAGGCAGATCCACAAATTTATGCTAGCAAAGAACTTTGTACAGTGCCTGTAATCTTTGCATTTTTATTGTCAATAACACATGAAAAAAGAAAATTACTTACTTACTTAATGTAAAGGAGCAAAGCAAACAAATTTATATTTCATGTAATTTG